TCCTATCTAAGACAAAAGTCAATAACGGCAAAAAAGTGACTGCTGGAAGATGCACAACTTCTAGTTAGATGTGCCATGAAAATATTTTTGCACTCCATTTTTTAAATAAACTTTTTTAATAATATTCTTTTCAATCTAGAATTTGTTCATTTTTCAAATATCATGTTAAAAATGCTGCAAAGCACAGTTATAAATGGATATACAAGTTACGTAAATAATAAACTAATTTGTTATCATTGATGTGTTAGCTATGCTTAATATAGATTTGATATGTTGCACACGTCTCTTTGCAATGAAATACAAAGCAAAATGACTTGCAAAAAATAATAAAAAGATTTGATATTAAAATTCTTAAATTTTAGCGTGAATAAAATAAATACGTTCTTTTCAGTTTTTCCTTAATTTAGAAATTGATAGTTATTTAAACTCGAAATCTTGAAAGAGATTCTAATTAAATTGCAGCTGAGTATTACAAAGTTTACAATTGACAGTTTGATAGAAATCTGCTTTTCATGATTTAAAAACTTGATTTTGCAAAGATTCTGAACTTTCTCAATGAATTTCCTTTGATAGGAAAAATTTCGCATATTGAGCCAATCATCAAAATGAAAATCGTCAACATACTCTTAATTTAATTATGTTTGTTAAGACTGTGAAAATTTTTCTGAAAAAACTTTTAGATGAATGCTTTTAAGAGCAACAAAAAATTCTATAGGACTTTACTTTACTTAAAGTTAAAAAAAGCAATTAATTCTCTTCATAAACCGGTAATGTATAGAGCATCTGTTTCTGTTTGCATTTGAAGTTTTGCTGTTTTGTTTTGAGGATTTTATTCTTTTATTACCTGCCACTACCAAAAAAGTGACTAGTGACAAAAATTTATTACCATTAGAAATTTGAAGAATTATTTTAAGATCATGCAGTCTTAGTATTAGAAATTCTGCAAAATTATGATAGCATTTTTATTGCGAATGAAATGATTTGGGAACAGCACCGAAATTTAAATGACCCATCCAAATTATGGTAATTTGTTTAATTTGCACATCACAGGCAAGGGTTTTTTTGCATACAACAATTGAAAAAATGTTTTGCCAAATATTATCTCAGACATTTGCTACTTTTTCAAATCACTGCCATAAAATTAATATGTAACAACCTATTTAAGGGGTAGTCTTCAATAATAAACAAAGAAATACTGATTACTCGTATAAAAAAATTCGAAAAAATTCATAAGAATTTTATGATTTGATTTAAAATTCTTTCCAATTACTGATAGTAGGTAATCAATTAGACGCATAGTTATACAGACTACAAAGAAGAAGCTGAATATGCGAAAATCTGCTTTCCAGATACGTAAGAAAAAATTTTTCAAGCAGTAATTATGCAGTCAAAGTTTATTTTAACTAATCGTTTTGGTTCTGGAAAAAAAAATAGACAAATAAAACTTTTTTGAGCTGAAAGGTGCAACTTGATTGACCATAGCACAAAAATTGACCACATTTGAACCCGACCGAACAACGAAAACCATTTTTTATGAGAAATTTAAAGAAGACGATGCATTTGAAATTACTTTCACAGTTGATAACTCAAGATTTCTTTTCAGAATAAAATGAATTGTTCTAAAATGCAAAAAACTCACTCGATAGAAGCTCTGTATGTTTTGTAATAACACTGAGAATCTTTTCAAGCTAAGAGCTGTCTGAGATAAATGATGTTCTTCGTGTGGCATTACAATGAAATTCAATGTATCTGAATTTCTGAAAAATGAACTCTTCAAATTCTAATTTACTTGAAAATAATTTACTGATTTATTTGAAGGTATATATACAGAATGTAAATACAGTGTCATCAAATGATACTCAAACTTACACGAAAACAAAAAGGAGACTGAAAACAAAGCCGTCACAAAGTTCGGCAAATCGTAAAACGCGCCCACGAAATGCTTCTGTACGCCAAGCTACTTCAGGAAGAAGTGCATCTGAACCACTGATGCAGTCTCTTTAAAAAACTTTGCATACGTAGAATAATATATTTTAAAGCAGAAATAAAGTCTGCAAATTGCATTTCTTTGACTTTTTTTGAAAAGCATTATTATTTTATAAAATTATTTACTTCATGAAAAGCAGACAGAAAGCCAATACAAACTTTAAAGAGGTTATACAGAATGTAGATTTAAAATTTCTTATCAAATCATGCGAACCACATTACAAATTTATCATATTTCAGCAGTTTATTTTTTATTTTAAGTAACTAACTTAATCCACGCTCCAAGAGGCTGCTTCCAAAACTGTTCTTCATTTTCATTCGCTTCATTGCAAAGTTGAAACATTCTATATCGCTTTAATATGGAATTTCCATTGCAGTTCTAAAAACATATCACATGTAAGATATTCAGAATCAAAAGACAAAAAGAAGCATTCTGTTGATTTGCAAGCTTTTTTTAGCTTCAAATGTTCCTTTCTCATGATTTGTTTGCTTCTTCAATTTCATAGAACAATATGAGCAATGAAGCAATGGTATTATTTTCAATTTTAGGATTATGAATGAAACTGCCTAAAGTTTACTCATAATCTAATAAGTTACTACTTTAAAAAAAATGGTATCTTAAAATCAAAAATGCCTCAAAACAACCATAACAGAGAAAGATTTTCAGTTGTTATGGAAACTGAACTTGAAACCATTAAGTAACTACATGTCTCTTATATGTGGTTGCTAAGGAAATAGCCCATCAATAAAATTGAAAATATATATATATATATATATATATATATATATATATATATATAT